TTTTTTTTTTCTCATTACACAATATCATTCTCTCCAACAATGTAGAAGATGCTTTTTTTTTTTTTTTTTTTTTTTGCTGATTGACTTAACACGACTAAATTTAAACACTTCTTGAAATTCTACTGACTAGGCAAGGGTTTGTTTTTGTCTTTCTCCAGATGCCTGAAACAATTACAACTTATATTTGCTTCAATAAGAAAGTTTCATCTTTGAAATTTACCTTAGATTTTATTTTTATAATTGTATAACCAATTACTTTATAACACTTAAAAATCACATCTAGGAAACCATTATATGTTTACTAAATTTTAATACTGATCAATATTTATTTATTGTTGCTAAATATTAACAATTAGGATGCAAATAAAGCATCACTTTAAGTTCATTTTACACTGTGTTTTTTGATCAGATGTTTGAGTGACATAATGTTACGGGCAATCATTATTTGAAGGGTTGAATATTTTATCTTCTGAATGAAAATCAACTCTTCAATTAGTACTTTTTATAAATAAAAGTGTTCATTGGTCAAGTTGAAGTACAATTACACATTTCATGATTCCTGCCTTAAATTCCAATTTCAAATAATTTTAATGGGCATTTTAAAATTGAGTAACAAAATTGCATACCTGCTTAAAAGTAGCATTAACATTTTTACTTTGGAAATACATGATTTTCTTTTACTCTCATAACTTTGCTTTTTAGTGGACTTAAAATGAGCAATGTAAATACCAATCTTTCTGTCTTAAAATTTTGGATCACAAGGTCCAACTTTAGGCTCTTTAATTTGTCTTAGATGAGGAGTTCAGTTTGAGAAGAAATAAAGTATGAGCTTATGTCGTATTTGTCAATTAATTCATCATAAGTTTGAACTTCTCATTGTGGCCTCTTATGGTCTGGAGCAGTCTCTGGAACTCAGAGTGACTTTGGGTTCAGTCATTGCTCCATGATCCTCTTTGATGGAGCAGAGGCCACTGATGTGAAACTCTTAGGCCAAAAAACGACTGAAGAAATTACCTGTATATTCCATAGACTATAAAAATAAACTATTAAAAAATAAACCTTACGGTATATAGTTGGGTGGCTAATTAATTAAGTTATTGATTAAACATGCTAAATCACTGAGTCGATGGTGAACAAAAATGTTTCTTTACAGCATATTTAAAGTAACACAGACATATATGCCCAATTAACTATTGTTTTTAGCATATTTATTCTCCATTTCTCTTTTTTAAAGTCCAGGATTGGTGAACTCTCAGCTTGAAATTACAACTCACTCAGAAATAACATGCTGTTTATCTGCTGGCTCAAAACTAGGAGGCTCCAGGAATGAATTCAGAATTAGCTAGAGCAATTTAAGTGTTGCACTCTTTAATCTCTGTAATGATACTCAGGTTCTAATTATCTAGGGGCTATTTAGCCCTTGTTATCTCTTGCTACTTTTTTCTTTCTCTGCTCCCTCAATGAAAGGAGGAGGCCAGGAGGACTAATAGCTGCCAGCATTTTTGTTAACAGAACCCAAGCTATTTCTTTAAAGCAGGCTTCCTAAAACAAAAACAACAGAGAGGTACTTTTTCTTTACAGTTTATTCCTAACATAACAAATCTACTTTTATTACAGCAAATAGTAATGTCTCAGGAATGCACAGAATAAAAGTCTCAGAATTTTTGTGTTTTCACAACTTAATGGAATATAAATACCTACTGATCTCCACTTTATGTCCATTATTCTGAATTCACATATGTTACATTTTACATCTACAGATACTATAGTTTTATGTTAATAATGCCTTTTATTATTTATTGTGGTCTCCTGAAATTCTTTCAGAAAATAAATGTATGTGTGTAAGTATGTTTGGGGGGGGGGGG